TCATTAATTCACCGATATGGAGCTCAATCAATGGCTAAGCATAATTGAATCTTTCTATAAGGATAAACCACATTTTACAAAACTTTTTCAAAATTATAAGTTTGTCACTAAGCCTTTAAAAGCTTGATAGTGAATTGGGTTTGATTTAATATTATTTGAAAAGGATTACAAAAGAAAACATAAGTGATGGTACATCTTAAAACACAACAAGCTCAAGCCCTAACTAAAAGTGAAGGGTGTAAAATTCCTTAATAGCCAAACATACCCCTAAGGGTACTTACTTATAATTCTTAAAAGTTATTTGTCATACTCATGGGCTAAAATTAAAACATCAAGACCACACTGAGAATGATTAAAATATGAAAGATTCCTAATATTATTAGGTTGATCAACTCAACAACTTAACTAGGCCAAATGAACTTGAAATGGTCCAGAAGATTTTAAAGTTGTTTTGGGTCACTCCCTGAACCCCTTTGCAAGATTTTAGACATTTTATAGGACATTTGGACTTATTACAATTTGTTGAGGAAAATCATCCTTAAAACATAAGGATCCACCAATATATGATTTAGGCTCCCGTCAAATCATTAGAATTATCTTACCTCCACTTAACCTATAGTAAAACCCAATGTTCAAGGGTATAAGTCTTGGAAATGGTATTCAAACTCTTGTGGGTAACTAGGGATATTTAAAATATAGCCACATATAGATTATTGGGGTGGTGTAAGTTGAAGGTTTTGGTGGCACGGACGGAGATGAGAAAGGCATCTAGTGATAAATTTGTGATGACAATAGTATTGTATCTTCTGGCCCGGGTATTTTATGAGGGTACAGGATTGACACTACTATTCACCTATATTTGACAAGAGATAATCCCTACTTTTTGAGGTTGTCGGTGGTCCTGGCCCGATAGTGTGATTGACTTATGGACAATCTGATTTATAAAATATACAAAAATAATGACAAGACAAATACATTTTATTGTGAAACTAATATTTTTATAGCTATGTGTCTACCTTACTTTTATGCATGAAAAAATATAAAATTTGGATGTGACATTGTAAATGTCTACTTGTCAATTATCTAGACTGGGGCTAAGGATTGCCCTCCTTTGATCATATTGCTGGTAATCTTTAGCCGATGTCAAACTTTATACACATAGATTGCCGATAGTTACCTACGAAGTCCTTCGGGAATGATGATTTTGAGTCCACCCCACAACTTGAAATTCTTACACTCAGCCTCGATCTTTTATATGGGCTTATTTAATTTAATGCACTTGTTTTTGTTCCCTCAAATTTTATTCAAATATTCAAACGCTATGTCTAATCTCTTAGTAGTTGCTTCGGGGGTGGCAAGTACACTCTATCATTTTTATCTTTTTACTGTATTTTTCGTTTCTTTTTCATACTTTATAGCATGTTTACTTGTATATAATTTAATATGCCTGTAAAGGCCTTTAGGGTAGAGAACAATAGGACACATGTTTAGGGGGAACATTACAGCAAGCCTCAGGACTCAAATATAATTACGAGTTCAATCATAAACCTTAAACTCATAACCATCATAAGTAAGGAGCTTGAAGCCAGTTGCTCGAGAAGCAGAACGAGGATGCAAGTGGACGAAAGACAACTTCAAATGATGATCAATACTCAGCAATGAAGTGGATCCACTTGAACTAAACTTTCCTTAGTTTTGAATAACATAAACCCTTAGGACTTCGAGGTAGTTCTTTTAGCACGACATAAATCCTCACTCTACTTTTTTAGGCTTTTGCATAATCATGTTGTGCAATATAAGTTCTAACTTCTTTAGGATTCCAAGATTGTTTGTTTGGTACGACATAAATCCTCCCATATTTCTAGGTTATTTGCATAATTGTATATTGTGTAAGTGTAAGCCCTAAATTTTAAATAAATGGTAGGAGGAAAAATTAAATAAATTCAATTACAAGATGTAAAGCCAAACATTAGGATAGTTTGGGAAGTCATTGAGGTCTGCCTCAAGATTTGTGACATTCCTTACTTCTCGCTTCTTTGACTCCTAGATAACAGTTCCTATTTGGTCCTTTCCCCACTTGACTTTTCCTATAAGCGACCGTGGACACTAAACTTTGAGTACTTGAATATGAAAACCCTTATATTAATCGAGAGTATTCTTAAGTGATCTTGATTGCCTAAGATGTAATTAACTATAAGGATCTGCCTCTATAGTGAACTAAGAGCCCAAGTAAAATAAACCCTGTCTAATCTTTACATATTAGATAAGAAAACTGTCGATCACGATAGGGTTTTACAAACGAAACAAAAGTCATAAATTTCTTAGTTTAAGTGGCTGAGCCTACTTGCAAGTGATATACTTATCTCTCGGGGTGGCATATTATTTGTGGTATTGTACTCAACTATTTAAACTATTAGACAAAAGAGATCTCTTCGGTCTCATTTTATAGAAGTTAAAAGGTTATTTTCAAAATCAAAATTATATATCAATTAAATTAAATTAAAGAAGTTCATTTTTTTTAAATGTTGGCCGACACCCACCTCACTGGGGGCACATGTATTGTTGCTCGTTGCCACAAAACCTCCAAACATACTTTTCAACTTTTCCTCCAAATCAGGATTGACTCCACTGTAATTAAATTTTCTTCCAGCAGACATCACCTAAAGATTCATATATGTTGTTGGATAAAAATAGGGGTCATTTCAAAAATGTTCTCCGTTGGTCTCTCTGCACACCTCTCATCAAAAGCTTAAATCGCTTTACCGGATCCCACCCCAAGCTTGTTGATACTCGCTTCAATTCCTTCCAAATTTTCCAAACTTTTTTTAGTTGATCTCACTTGTTTTTAACCACTTCCTGTCTTACTCTCTCCCTGTACTTTCCTTGAATTTTTAATAATATTTTGCCAGTCTTTCTAATTGGAATTGGTTGTCAGTTTCTTTTCTAGTTCGACCTCGTTGAGGCAAAAGTAGCTAAATATTAATTTTGTCTCTTTATCACATATTGTAGATTAACCAGCCTCATTTGTCTTAACCATTATATTACTAGTATGAAGAAACTAATTAACATAAATAGGAATGCCACAATACCACAAATCAAAGAAAGATAGAAATGCCACAATATCATCACTAATGCCACCACCTCCACACACCAGCACATCAAGACACCAACACATCCACCACACCACCACTTCCTTTTCTACACACCAACACCTCCAAAAAAACACAACCGCACACTAACCACCACCTCCACAACCACACACCAACACCTCCACGCAGACACCACCACCTCCACACACCACCACACAGATAGCACAAAGACGCCAACACCTCCACATAGACACTACCACCTCCACACACCAGCACATCAACTTCTCCCACAACACACCACCACCTCCTCGTAACCTACAACAAAAATCAACACCCTCTTTCATCCATTTTTCAAATTCTCACATAAACATCAAAGATAATGGTAAAAGCCCATCTCATATTTTTCATTTGAGGCAATTACATACAGGCATCTGAAACATTTCTATCTACAAATCAAGCACTATTTCATCTATTTTTTAAATCCTCACTCAAAAATTAGAGGAGGTAAAGATAAAGCGCAACTCCATATTTTTCAAATTCTCACTCAAAAACCAAGCACCTGAAACATTATTTACGAGGCACCCATATTTTTCAAATTCTCAATGGTTATATACAGGGCACTCGAAATAGTGTTATCTACATGCAGGGTACCCGAAAAAAACCTATCTTCCATTCCATATTTTTCAATTGAGGCAGTGACATACAGGGCACCCAAATAGTGTTACCACCTAAAACAGTGATATCTACATACAAGGCACCCGAAGCAGTTCTATCTACATAGAGGGCTCCTGAAACATCATTACACATAACCCTACAAATCATAAAACCCTACATATCGCAAAATCCATAAAATTCTCACAATAACTACAGATGAAAATGAGAAAGCCACAAAACGAGAAAACTCAGGATCGATTCAATAAAATTCTCACAAAATCCTACATACGGCAAATCAGAAAGCCATAAATCGCAAAGAGAAAGCCATTCCATAGAAAATGAGCACATGAATTTTATACTGTGCACAATAACCGGAGATCAAAGAGAAAAGAGAGAGAAGAAAGACAAGTTGCCATTGGAGAGAGGTGTGAGAGAGAAATGAGAGAGATACCTAGGCAACAGGGTAAAACTTCATAAAAGTGATCAAGAGAGGTAGCTAGAGGAGAAGAAACGCGAGAGAGGTGGCCACGGTGTCGAGAGAGGCAGAAGAAACGCGAGAGAGGGACGCAGGAACTAGCGGGGTAATATGTACGTGAAGAAATGCAGACCGTGAAGTTGAACCCGTGACCGCATTTCAAGATAGAATATTTAAGGAATGCCCTGTTTCCAAATAGACCCAACCGCCTTTTCAAAGCACACCGCGCCAAAAAAAATCTGCCTATATGGGCCCTAAAGCAGCTCCTCTACAATACCATTAAGAAGAAGGTCAGAAATTTTCTTACGCTACTTTCTGAGATGATTTTTTTTTTTTTGGGCCTGATGAGGGTTCAAAGCAGAACTTCTTTAGTAATAAAAGTTTTTTTTTTCATATTTATTTGTTTTGGAATAAATTTCTGTTGCATGGCCCTCACAAATTTTCATCAGAATTTCATTCTACATTATGCAAATTGAACTCATTCGTAGTGCATTATCCAAAGGGTGCTATATCGAATCATTAAGCTCAATTCAATTTCATTATGGCAGCCAATGATATTACAAGTACTATAAACAAATACATCACCTCAAAAGCTTAAATAATCCAGAAAAAAGAAACTAAAGCACTAAGAAAAATGACCAGTGGATAATAACAGGTGTTATGTTACACATTCTTCCCATGGTGACTAAGCATGAACCTCCCTGCATGCATGCAACGTGTCATCACAATCTTCCCATCTCGTTATTCTAACCTCATCCGGCCTTGCCTATTTTTATCTGCAAACTTCGTGCAACAAGAACTCCACACAACCTTTACTCAAAAGATTAGCAGAAGAGATACGTAAGAAGCTAGAATTCCGAAAAATGGCGATGATGTTCAATGGAAGCGGAAGCTTATTCCTCAAGCTCTCTCATCCACTCCGTTCCCCTTCATTGCGCAAGCCCAACCATATATTGTTCCCTCTCAAATCTACGCAGGTGAATTAATATGGATATGCATGATTTTGCTGCAGTATCTATGATATTCTAACCTGCTTTTGTCCTGAATACTTTCAGAACTTCTGCAAGGCATCATATGGGGAGAACGAGAGGGACAGACAGATCCGGCAGAAGCCAGCTGAGGCTGCTGATCGAGTTAGCGATGTGCTGAAGGAAGGATCAGAGAGCGCCAAAGAGAAGGCGCAGAGTGTAAAAGAGAAAGCAGAGGATAATGCTAAATCTGCAGCAGATTGGGCCAAGGATACAACCAACAGTGCCACCGAGCGAGCCAAAAATATAGGAGATAGTGCAAAAGAGTCTTTGGAGTCTGCCAAGGACAAGACGAAGGAATCTGCGGAGACGACGCAGGAGAAAACGAAGGAGGGGTTGGGTAAGGCTTCAGAGTTTAGTGATGGCGTGACAGAGAAGGCGAAGGAGGCTGTGAAGGGAGTGGTGGGGGCTGCAAATGATGCGGCGCAGAAGATAAAGGAGACGGTGGTGGGGAAGGATGAGGATGATGTTGCTCGTGGGAAGTGGTGATTGATGTGACACATGTTAATTTGGTTTGGATTCAGAGGACAGGAAGATCGGAGCAGAGGAAAATTGGAAAAGTTGGATGGATTAGTTTCTGTTTATTTTGCTTTCTTTGTCTGTTTAGAGTTGGGATGTTGTATACTTTGCAGGTTTCTTGTGGTTTTAATTTGGTTAGAATGGATGGATAGATGAAAGGAAAATGAGATTATCTGTTCTACTGTTGAGCAATACATGATCATTTTGGTTGAACGCCAATAATAATGTCTTTGTATTTGTTTATTGAGAACATAATAGTTTAGAATGATTAATATGCTATGGAGTTGGTTGTGTATTGACTCTAGTTAGCATATTGAAATACTAATTGGAAGATTAACTTGTAACTTTAGGAGGTTTAAATTGGAGCTTTACTAGATTCAACACACCTGTATCTTTTAGGGGATTTTGGAGAAGTATGTTATGTTTGGTGCAGCTTTTGCTTATTCGGATAAGTAGTTTATTTTGAAATGCGACCCGCCGGTAACCTATCGGGTTCAACCACTTTTTCGGATAAGCCGACGAAACATACTTATAAGCTCTCCCAGATGAGCCCCATGTTATGCTTGGGTTCAAACTAGATTTAATTTTAATAGAATTTAATAAATTCTATATATATCAGGATTTATTAAGGGTATGTGGGGCATTTGCAATTTATTGGATAATCTACTAATAAGCTGATTATAAATAATCTCTTGATAAGCTAAGAGCGGTGATTATTACAAAGATTATAAATAATCTCTTGATAAGCTAAGAGCGGTGGTT